GAACGATGGATATCCAAGCTGGTCCATCCGTACAAGCGTGCGAAGGCGGAGTGGAGCAGTGTCGATCTGAAGCGTGTGTGGGTTTGGTATGGTGGCGCCAAGGCTGGCAAGGTAGTCAGCAGGTCTGTTCCCCTCACGAAAAAGGTGCGTGATCCTGTGATGGACAGACCGAAGTAGAGCTCTAATGCGCATAAGCGGGTGTTGAATCTGCCACGAGCCCTGTGACCCGAAGTCAGGAGGGTGACGACAGCCGCAGCATCCAGCTCGATCCAAATATGACTAGAAAAATGGACAGAAATCTGAAGGCCAATCTGTAATGCCTTAATCTCTGCGTCTAGCTCGAGGAGGCCAGAAGGGGCGTGTGGAAGGCGGTGATGAGGGCACCACTGTGGTCCCGGATCAAGCCTCCTCCTCCGGCAGCTCCAGTATGGCGATCAAAAGAGCCATCAGTGTTCAGCTTGCCCAAGGAGAGTCGGTCGAAGCCAAACAACAGCTCTGGGCCGAGGGGGCCGAACAGGCGGTGAGGAGGCCATCATGAAGCGGTGTGCAGCATATCCAGTCTCGGGCCGTGAGCCTGCCCAATGCTATGAGGAGTGAAAGATGTCTCTCTACCTGCAAAATAATGTGAGAAAACAAAAAAGTAATATCCCTATGCTTCGCACTATTCCTCTCTGTCCAGATGAACCAAAGGATCAGACAAAGAATGAGGAAGTCCACGTGTCTAAAGTGTGTGCTCTGTGAGAAAAAACTCAGGGGCTCAAAGAAACTGTCTGTGGTGGGTAGGATATATGGCTCCAAGTGGCAAAGTGCTCTCACACTCTCCTTGCAATCTCACTCTCTAGAAAAAGGTGGGTAGTAGTTGCTAGGTTAGTTCTATTTAGTTGCTAGGTTAGTTGTCTGTAGTTGTTAGGTTAGTTCTCTGTAGTTGCTAGGTTAGTAGTTGCTAGGTTAGTTCTCTGTAGTTGTTAGGTTAGTAGTTGCTAGGTTAGTTCTCTGTAGTTGCTAGGTTAGTTCTCTGTAGTTGCTAAGTTAGTTCTCTGTAGTTGCTAAGTTAGTAATTGCTAGGTTAGTTCTCTGTAATTGCTAGATTAGTAGTAGCTAGGTTAGCTCTCTGTAGTTGCTAGGTTAGTTGTCTGTAGTTGCTAAGAGTTGTCCGCATTTTAAGAGTTGGGCGCATTTTAAGAGCTGACCGCATTTGATCCGCCCCGATATTTTATAAATATATCTATATATATTGAAAAAGGTTGATGAAAAATTCATTTGTGGGAAGTTTAATTTTTGGGTCAAATTTGTTGACTTGCCATTTAAGGAAAATCTGTCCATATTTTTTCAAACCGATTTACTAAAGCCACTTTCATTATTTTAAAAACAGTTATTGAGATATTTTTGGTAGATTTGTTTTGTTTAATATGTACGCAACTACATTCCATAATTTTCGTATGAGATATTTAGAGCTATTTTTTAAAGGAACGTGCTCTATTTTGTTCAAATATCCATTCTCCTTATTTTTTTTTTTCAAGCCGACTTCAAAACACTATTTTAATAATTTTTGTATTTTATTTGTTTAACATAGAATCAAACACATTCCATCTTTTAATATTTAGATCAATTTTAAAAAGATCCGTCCATATTTTACATATTGAATCTGTCAATCAATTTTAAAAAGATTCGTGCTCCAAATTTACAAATATTCGTGGATTTTTTTTTTCAAACCCATTAATTATTTTGAAAATACTTTTGTATTTTATTTGGAATCAACTACATTCCATATTTTACGTACTAGAATTTCGCAGCTATTTAAAAAAGATTTGTGCTCTAATTTTGCGAAGATTTGTGAATTTTTTTTTCTCGATTGAATTTTGCAGCTATTTAAAAAAGATTTGAGCTCAACTAATTTTACAAAGATTTGTTAACTTTTTTTCTCGATATGGATGCGTCTCTGTTAAAGTAAAAATGTAGAAGTTGTACAAGATTGGTTTCTTTAAAATTGTTTGTAAACAAACCTCATCAACATGTATATTAATTTGAGCCGATTCCACCATAAGATAAACTATCTTGAATTTCATAAAAATAACTCAAAGTTAAAGAAATTAAAATTAAAATTGATGCAAAAATAATGTACATGTTAATTTAAAACTTATATGATCTTATTAATAAGTGTGAATATTTATTTGAAAGCATTAAAAATTGTATAGGATGTTTTCTTTAATATTTTTTATAAGCAAACCTTATCAACTGCCCAAAATAACATTTTTAAAATAAATATATTGAAATTTAAGAATAAATCGCATTCACATAAATAAAATTTTGATGCAAACTAATGGCCACTTTCATATTCGACGATAAAAATAGACAATAATATCTTTTAGAAAGAAAAAATGCACAAATTAATAAAGTTATAAAAACTCCATATTTTGTGGGCACCAGTTATTATTGATATCTGATCAAATTAAATCTTATATAATTTTAATATTCATCCGTATCATTTTACCTTTATCAAATCGTTTTGGTGTTTCAAACGCACGTATGGAACTTTAATTGGGTGAGATACGGATTATGACAAGGTTTTTTATAAGAGTTGTGATGTACGGAGGTGTGAGCTTGTCGAGAAGGTACTATTTTTGCATCCAACGAAAATTATATACATATTGATAAAGTTCGAATATTTGTATTATTTATTTTAGACATACGGAGGAGTTGTACTGTTCTAAGGCTTACAAAATAAGAAAAAAAAAAAACATGCATCTTCAAAGCCTTACTGATTCTGCGAATGTGATGAGGTTGCTCGATTCGTCGATTGGATAGGAAGTATTGGAGATGGGACCTTAGGGGGATCGAACGATATATGTGCAATGATAGAATACCTAAGGATATATTGTTTGGTCCCTATGATGATCAGATTGCTTCAATATTTGAAAGCACATATACAAAATTTAAGGAGTTAACTAATGATCCTAATTATTTTAAGGACATAACGAGTTAACTAATGATCCTAATTATTTTAAGGACATAGTTATATTATCAACGACATTGAATATTGTTGAGTCTACCAATAAGTACATGTCATTGTTGAATTTTTTTATAGTCATACGTACTAAAGTTTCGATAGTACGTGCAAATCAGACCCTAATAAAGATTTCATGTCTGGTCTCCATACGCTTGAGTTCTTGAATAATATTATATGTTCGAGAGTTCCAAACCATGGGTTTCATTTGAAGATTAAAACTCCCGTCATATTGTTGCAGATCTATACAATGAGACATGGCTGGTTGTGACCAAACTCTCTACTAATTCTCTCGAGTGTAAGATACTTACTAGGGATCACACAAGCGATAAGATGTTGATTCTTAGAATGGATATAACTCCGTCCGATGTCAGAATTTCTTTTAAGTTCAAGCAGTGGCATTTTCTCCTTATTGTTTCTACCGCCTTGACTGTAAACAAGAGCCATAGCTTATCGCATCTTGGTTTATTCCTAAAGAAGTCGGTGTTCGGTCATGGACAACCCCAACTATATGTTGCATTATCACGTGTCATCAACCGAAATGAGTTGAAAATACTAGGAGTATATATTCATTTAGAATTTCTAAAGACTTTTAAAGATTTCAGAAATCCTGGTGTATTTAATTTAGACTTTTAAAATCCTGATTTATTTAACTTATTTGAGACTAAGATTTGTTAAGACTTTGTAAGATTTCCTGGCATTTATAAGGAAAAAAATATATACGAAATCCCACCTCCAAATTTAAGATTTCACAGGATTCCTCCAAAATCTGAAAATCTTAAAAAGTCTCAAAATTTAACTCGAAATCCCAAACGAATACACTCCCATTAGTTTTTTTATAACGATGGTTCGCCAACAAATGAAACAAAAAATATTATATACAAGTTAGTCAATAATTTATAATTTTTGGGTTGTTGGCGAGCTGTGTATTATTGCTCTACGTATCAAAACTCTTTTTAATTTTTAGTATTTAAGATGTTAAACTTTTTACTTAAATATGTCATCTCGTGCATCGCACGGGCCACTACTAGTAAATTAAAATTAAACAGTTTTAATAACTCAAAAATATAATTACATACTCCCCAACAAACTTTTCGTTTACAATTTTAAATTTATATATAGAAGTGCACAGACTACATAGGTTCCCATAACTTAGGGGGTGATTGGATATGAATTCAACTAGTAAAAATCTAGTTTTTTTTAACTATAGTTAAGTTTAAAAAAAAAAGTGGTATGGTTAGTTGTTAGTGGATATATTAAAATAGTATTTAAAATAAAATAATTAAAGTTGATTTGATGTAAAAGTAAGAGAAAATGATTGGAAGTGATAGTTAGTTAAAATTATGTGAGTGGATGAATAGTAAATTAAAGTTGATGTGATGTGTAAAAATGATTGGTTGATATTATTTTATTATATTAATAATATTGAAAATAATGGAGTTGAGTTAAAATTGTGTTAAATTTGAGTTTGAATTAATTTTTTTACTGTACAATGCATAAACAATCACCCCCTTAAGGTTTGGTCTTGCCACAATTAATTATTTTATTTTGTTTCATCACTTATAAAAATGATTTTTTACAGTATATGTTTAAATGCATAAATAAATAAAAAAATGAGTTTTTTTTTTAATCAGCTGACAAACTTACCAGGCCAAACTAGCCTGAAGAGAATATTGAAATAATCTCGAAACGGTTGGCACTGTGCTTACTATTGCTAGTTTATCAGGCTGTATTCATTTTGGTGTTTGGATTCGAATTTCGATATTCTGATTGATGCCTTGTTTGTACCAATCCACAAGGCGTAATTACCAAAGTAGTAGTATGAAGGAAAATACCATTTAATCTTCTACTCCTTTTCAAAGTGATGAACAAATTACCAGCCAATAATTAATTATCTGTACGTCAGATCATGTTACTACAAATATGCTTTGATTCAACACGTTACAAGCCAAACAAGAAAATGAGAACTGGTAAATTAGGAAAGCTCTAACATCAAATGAAGAAAGTCCATAACATCAAATTAGTTCAAGAGAGTTCAAAATAGCAACAAAAGACTGAATCAAATGAATATATAATCAAATATAGGAAGGGCAGGTTTTTAACATCTCCCAGAGGAAAATAGGAAAGGCAACACAGTACACAAATTCTCCCATCATACACACTCTTCCTCAATTACGCTACAAAATGGTAGATCGTTATATAACTTGGCGAACACAATCCAGCAAAAAAAAAAAAAAGTTTTTCTTTTCCTTTTTCTTTCTCTCAACCATAAAATACAAAAATAAATTGGGAGCGGAATTGAAAGATTTACCCACTAGCAACTATTTCGTGGATGGCATCACTTACATTTACATCATCGGATCTTACGGCTAACTTCATAGCCACCTCCTTTGACCCGTCAATACCAAATGACAACCGCACAAGCACCTTCACACTACCAATGTAAACACCCGATAGCAAACATGTGTGTGATCTTGAGTTGCTGGAGACCACCTCCGTACCCTGGTAAAAAAGCAAAAGTCATTATTGTGTATGTATTCTTTTAGCGTTCTTTCAATAATATAAAAATCAGATTAAAATAAATGCGGAATGCACATGCATTATTTTTAATTGGTCTGCACCAAATGTGGACTATCATTCAATTCCACCAACTAAATAAATACATCAATGTAACTAAAAGAGACTTGCAAAATTATCACCAAGGCATTGACCCAGTCATGCAAACACGATAAAAGACAATTTTCTTTCAAAACTGTAAATATCGCCAAGAGGTTCACAACAAGAGCCCTCGACTGAAGGAGAATTTCTCAACCATAAATAAAATTCAAGTTAATATTTAGAAATTTTATTGAAAGCAGTGTTTATTGATAGCCTCAAGGTCATTTTATGAAGATAGCTAGGTCTGGCAGTGGCACGAATGCCCATCAGCCTAACTTGTTCAACAGAAATTAGATTATTTATATATGAAGTTCAATTCTTATTTTCTACATACATATATAATTATAAAATCCTAAAATCTAAATTCACCAATGTTCATATTTTGTAGCTAATTTCCCTCTTAAATGCTACAACCACGTGGCAAAAACAACCTCAATATGATCCAAAACCTATTACAGCCACAATCCCCAAGCTTCATCAATAATACATAAAGCCTGAATCAGTGATTAAGAGAATGAAGCCTTGTCGTGCGGCAAGGCGAGGCTTGACTGCCTCAGTTTGGCAGATATTTTATTTTCAGTCTTCAACTAAAAGCATATATATATATCATGAATTGTCGATACTTCCTTAAGTTTGCTATTGGCTAGCTCACTTTCATAATGCGAATGTCTCGCCTCACGCCTAAGCAAATAACAGGCTTCTTGTCTCTGGTCACCTCATGCCTTTTTAATGACTGGGTTAAATATTATCATAAAACTATTTTTGAGACAGTTAAAACACTGACCTCACAAGGTTGCATTCCGAGAAGATTTATAACTGCATTTACAGCTTCAGACAGGCTCTCTCTGGGCCCAAGACCGTATTCATCTACGCGCTCAGACTCGGGATCCATGCTTTCCCATGCGTTCTTAAAGTTGGAGACCCCGACTTTCAGAATATAATCAGCAGCCACAACCTCAAAATCCTCAAGCTGGTATTCGTCCTCCACACCATCGTCTTCGGCCTCACCAGTGGATGGATCGACCTAATCACAATTTGAGCAGGTACTAACCAGTAAAGAATGTAATCCAACTACTGGGATAGGTAAGCATGCTGTCTAACTAAGAAAACAGGGGCAAAATAATGAAACGGATAGATCCAGAAGGTTGAGCTTATAGATTGTTTGATTCTTTTTAAACCATTTTCTCTCAGAATTTCGAATGTCCCCTTAATACTAAATACTTGTGTAAAACAGACCTCTTTAACAGTAAACCTCAACACATTTGAGAATTTTCCAACTGCAGGTACTCCTTCAGGTTTCTCGAAGGCCACAAAAGTTTGCGCTGGCGTATCGTATGGAAGCGACTTTAAAGGTTTGGTTCCTACTTCAGAGAATTCCTCAGCTTCAGAAGCATCCACAATAACGGTCACCTAGACACATGAAAATAGATAAGAATAAGAATCTAGATACCTTTAAAAGGTTTAATAATACTTGCAGAAAACTATGCNCAAAAAGAATAAATAATACTTCCAAACAAATGTGTTTTTTTACATTTTCAAGCAGCTGTTCTGGTATAGTATTTGTGCAGTTGTACTGAAACACCACGTGGCTGTCAAAATTGTGCTTGACAACATTGACTGCATACTCGGTTTCTGCTTCTGTAAGCTCCACTGGCGGTGACGACTGCCATGAGGCATCAAAATATCAGCGAAAAATGAACCCAAGAGATATTACCAGAACAAATTGTGGCAGGATTTCACAACTTTAAAAGGGCAACTTCCAAAATTTATTCTCAATTTTTACCCCAATTACAATAGAAACCAGTTGCCTTCGATTTCCATGTACCCCCTTGACATTTGTTACTCTTCAGTTTTAGTAATTGCACAAACAAGATGGCCATTTTTGTAACACTTAAAGCTGGTATTTGTGATTTTATAAGGCAATGAAATCACTGTGTGATTAACCAGGTTAAATGTTTATCCACCAACCTTGAAAAGTTTACCAAAACTTGCAAACTCAGGGATAGCAGAGAGAAGCCTTTCATAAGCATCAACTGCAGAGATGGGGGCAGGAGGTGGAGCACCCAAACCAGTCTGCTTTTTGCCTGGGGCCTTCTTCTCGGAAAGAGGCTGAGACTTAACATCTTTAGGTACAGAATTGATATCAAAAGGCTCTTCCGAGAGGTTCTGTGCCTGTTTCAAAAGAAAAGATGTGAGTCTAAGCTTCGAAGCTGTATATTTCTGAATGGCAAAAGAAAATACTGCACAAATACAACATCTCATGTAAGCACGAAAAAAAAAACAAAAAATACATACATAATTTTTCAAACTACTCTCCATATTTGCCAGCGGTATATCAAGCGGGCCAAACAAAAACTCCTTGACATCTTTGTCAGTTTCAGTAACTGAACCATCTCCAAGAGTGTTCAAATACAGTGTAGCTCTATCTCGAACCTGTAAGTAAAATGGAATTATTTAAGTCCCATAAAGAAGATAATGAAAGGGTTGTCGTTCCAAGACATAGAGAAATAAAAGATTCATCAAGAGTGAGTGTCAAGATAAAATAGAAAATAATTACACACAGCACAAACAGCTAGCCGCAAGTTTCATTGAGGCATAGGACTGACCTCGTCATCATTATCGCATAGGCAACGCCTCAACAAAATGAATATGCGTGGCTGCAGCAAAGGAAGTACAAAATCCCTTCAAAGTTAGTAAATAATTCAAGATTCTTAGCCATAACCTCAACAGAAGAATCAAGCTTACTTTCAGTGAATCGACAACAGCACCAAATTTCGCCAGTGTACTGACAGCACTCGCTCGTACGGTAGCATTCTCAAGTATCACCCGATTGTAAATATAACGGATATATTTACTGGGATCTGACGTCTTGGGTCCCTCATTTCCAAGAAAGTGAAGTATCTAAAACAAGGAAGCAGCAAAATTAAGGATAATAAGGCTAACAAAGTAGCCAACTAAGAATATAATTAATCAGAACAGTGCCTGGAACAAAAAATTCCAACCTGCGTGGACAGATATGTGAATTCACAATCCTCAATAAATTCACACAAGTGTAGCAACCCACTTTCTTTGGCATCTGGAATATCTCTAATTAAGACCACGATTGAATCAACAATTGCCTTTTTGTACTCGAAACCACCCTCCTCTCTCAAAATATTGCTTAAGAAATTCATCCTATGGGAAACACAAGAGAACTAATCATTATGAGGAATTTACAACAGAAAGCTATAAAGAAATCCATGTACGAAATACTGCAATATTAAAGATTATCCAGCCTCAGTTTCCAGGAAACACGCAATAATCACTCACAGAGATCTGTACTTGAGGGGGAATTTCAGACACAGGGATCTTATGGCTTCTACTACAACAATCTTGAATTCATCAGCAATATCAGACATGAAATTTGTGATCTGCTTCATCAACCGATCAACACTAGATTCGTTGCCTGTTTTCAGCAGAGTGGTTATGGCAAGAGTTGCTATACTTCTATTCTGGTCTGAAATCAAGCTTTCCATGTCTATATTACAATTTGTAACAGCCATGGGATGTGTCATAGCTACCTGTATTCATATAAAGTTGGAAATGCCAGGAAAGAAGTCAATGGCTGCATCTTAAATAGGCGGCATGCATGCAACTTAAAAAAAGGTTACACCAAAAACAAGTTACACCATTACAGTACTATGCAACTGAAATTTTGAGAATGTCCACCTATTATAGAATTGAGGGTCAAAACAGTAAGTCTTAGCATCTCTTGGCAAGCAATACTCACAATAGGAATTAAGATAACACACTGAATATGCAGACACCAAACTACAGAAGAAGCAAGTTCATAGACATCAGTGAGGGACAAGATATGGGATCATCTTATTGTACTAATCAGGCAACTATCCATTCAATAGAAGCATATTAAATCTGGCACAGACACTAACCTTGTTCAAAGTCCTGACAGCAGCAAATCTTAGCACAGGCTTAGAAGAACTTAAGAAAAGCTGTAGAACAGTTATGGCTGGGGTCAACTCTCGAGTAGAGACATTGCTTAATTCTGTGATTGCCTTAGCTGCTTCAAAGATAACCATTTCAGCTTTGTGGCGGAGACAACTCTCAAGATAGTCATAGAATGGGCGGTCTCCTGTTTGTGGATTAACACCTGACTCTCCGATAACCTATACAGCTTAATGAGGATATGCCTTATCAAAACTTGAAGATAGAAAAGAGCAGAAATTATTCTTTTCAACCACTTCACAATGATTAATTCAGCACCTGGCTTGTGTAGCGAATCAAAAGGCATTGAGCTAAAGGTGAACGAACAGTCCCCTTTGTCAAGCTGGTAACCAACTTGCTCACAGCCAACCGATCATTTTGTCGTATCTGCAAATTCAGATAAGAAACACGCCAATCCAGTCAGGTCAATACGGAGACGATTACACTCCCTTTCCAATTAATGCCACAGCAAAAATTTAAATGCCAAATTTGTAAGGAAAAAAGAGGTTGTTTACGGAAAGTATCATAGGACAATTGTTTGGAACTCTTACAGTTAGTTTCAGAAGGAAACTGTTTCAAAATCCTAAGGTCACACAGCTCCTACAAAGTACTACTGAGAAATATATCAAAGAATTTCCTTCTTACTACAAACTTGACTCACAAAGTATAGTTAATTTTTCAGCAATCAGTTCAGATCCAAATAACAAATGCCAGATAGGAAAAGATAAAATCTAGATTGAGAATAAAGAATATCTTGTAATAGCAAACCAATTGTTTTACCATATTCTGTCAAAAATTGTTACCTGGTGGAGCAGAGCTAGTGCATGGAACTGTACAAGTGCAGCCCTTGATTGCACTGCTTCTTGTACTTCATTACTCCATCTTTTGACTATCTCCGGGTTGGTCTACAAAATAATAATTAAGTCCGCTGAGGATAAGGGGGAGGGTGGACATTGAGTTGCATTTTGTTTGCTTGACCATTCAACAAAAAAAAAAAAAAAAAAAAAAATAATAATAATAATAATAATAATAAAAGAAAGAAAGAAAAAAGTTTAAAAAATTGTCCAATAGTACCTGCAGCAGATGAATACCACTCACGAGAGCAGCACTTGCAACGACTGGGTTTTTGTCCACTATAGCCTGCTTTAGGTATCTCTCAATTTGTGTCAAAAGTGTCCCATCAGTAATCCGACAAAGGACACGAATAGCATTTGCTCGATACATATCAGTACGGCTGTTCATGTCCTTCATTAGGGAGCTAGTGACAATGATAACCTTTTAATGACAAGAAGAAAATAGATCATTATCTAATTACTTGAGAAGCAAAGAAGATTCACCACATTATACGCTAAAAAAGAAAAACCATATGGTCCAGTAACCTCATCCGCCGACGGCGAAAGTTCCTTAATCATTAGATAAACCATCCTTCTCAAACCAGTGTCTTTGGACTGAAACAGCTTGGTAACAGCGAAAAATACTTCCGTAGCTTCAACCTGTTAAATAAAATAAACTAATTACTGTTGGGCTGCAGGGAAATCTATAGGGGTAAGAACTATTATCTTAAGAGTTTCACCTTTGTAAATGTTTCACCCTGATTCAGAAGATACAGAAGCTTCGTGATGACCTAACAAACAAAAATGTCAACATGGACGCCATCTCTCAAAAGCAAAAAGAAACAGAATTAGATAGCTATAACAGCAAATATAATTACCTGTGAACATCTTCTTGCATCCAACTGAGGGTCATTGAAAACCCTAGCTTCCTGTAACACAGCACCCTTCTCAATCCCCAAAAATGGAGAGTAATCAGCTGCAAATTCGACACACTCCATATCAGAATATCGATCACCACAAATCCAATAACTATTTATCTATAATGTAAAGTTGTATAGGAGTCACAATGCAGGCTACACGTGAAGATGCAAATAATATGAGAAACCTGCATAATCCAGCTCTGACCAACCAATCATACATGCACTTTACATTATTGTCCAATTTGACATCCAATTCTACTGAACAAAAAGAATTAACTGAATGGCATTGGGGACTCTGAGACTGTGCCTCCACTTTTTGTGTGTACAGGATGCTGTGATTTTATGATGCAATCAAGAAAGAAATGAAACCAGGACAATTTTTCATCCGTATGAAAGTATATTCCATGATCCTCCCTTGTGCGCTAAAAAGTTTGTGAAACTTGTATCATATACATCCAACCTTTAAGAAATCCTAACAAAAATCAATAACCTCGTAATCCCAGCCGATATGCAGTATCAGACTGAAATATATGGTGCTTCTTCATTCTACACCAATAAATGCCATTCACAGAGAAACCGCAGATCTAATAAGTAATAGCTAAACTGATAGTTGGAGAAGAAATGGTAACTAGAACTGCAATCGAATCAACTGTAATATTCTACCGAGTACATGCAATGCTTTGACATGCTCCCCAACCATAAACACTGGTTGTGCCAAAAAAACCAGATATTGTCATTGCCCAGTCGAGAGGGCAACCTAACTAGGCATCAAATCTTATGTGATATCACATAAAACGCATCCGAATATCATTCTAACACATCATACATCGTTCCTTCACGCAATCTCGAATTGAACAGAAAAACGCGGATCTGAAGACGAATTAAAATAATGCATAAACAAGATAATAGAGTCATAGTGTATTAAATTCCAGAAAATGCACCTTCCTCATCGCGATCATCATCTTTCTTCACAAGCGGCTGCGCCATCGTGCAGAGATCTGTCTGTTTTCTACTGAAAATGAGAAATGAATCGTTGCGGATAAGAAGATGAATTAGCAGATCTCGGGGTCTTCCCTACGAAAGATCAAGTATCAACAGAAACAAGGCCACAAGTGGAGTGGTGTGACGATATATTTTTCTCCTCCTTCAACTTCTCTCTGTAATGTTTGAGGCGGAGCGGAAGAGAACTACAGAAATAACTTAATGGGCGAGTGAGAGATCAACTGGATCGGATGGCCGGATGGGAAATTGAGCTAAATTAGCCAACTATTCTTTACCCAAGGGTGCACTTGGGTACAATCGCACCGAAGTCACTGAAAAACTGAACATAGCAAAATAGCAATCGCTACTTAAAGAATAATAACGAACCAAAACGAACCAAACAGTTTTTACACTAAAATAATTAAACCAAATCGTACCGAAATGTACAATTCGGCTCGGTTTTTGGGTTTATCTCGGTTTTTTTATATATTTATTTAATTTTGTGCGGTTCGATGCAAGACCATATTGAGTCGAAGAAAATTGAAAACCTAACGTAACAGCACCGCACTGCAATGTAGGGAAAAATTGAATATTCTGAATTTTTTTTTACATTGAAACCCGAATCAAACCGCACAGAATCGCACGGTTCGACTCAAAATTGCTCACCCTTACTATTGTTGAACTCCATCATTTATATTTATTGAAAAATATAAATAGAATTTTGTTAGTGCAGTTGTATATCAAGGTTCTTAAAATCAGTTCAATGGTTCGTTAGTCGAATAAGTGGATGTACCGGTTGAATCAGTATTTATATATTAATATTTCTAAATATTTATAAAATTATAAATAACAAATTTTACATAGAAAAACATCATTAAGTAAATATATAGATAGTTTAAAACATGTAAAAACCTAAATTAGTTTATATAATATTTTTTACATATTTAAATTATTTAAGTATAAATTTTTATATTAAATTATTTTCATGAAAAAGATTTAGAAATAAATTGAAACAATTTTAGACTGGTTCTAACCGGTTTTTACCGATTGAAAATTAAAGACTGGTTCATTGGCAGGTGAATTTCATGGGGCGGATGGTTATGTGACCAGTTCCCGTTTGAACCGATCAGTCTTGGCGGTGGGGATAGATGGCTAGGCGGTTCGAATGCGCTTAGGGAAGGAAAATCCATAGCCATCTCCATCTCTTTCAGGTGATCTCGACTCTCACAATAAGTGATATCATTTCCCTCGGATCACTCTGAGGCGGCAAAGGCGGGCGACCTGCATGGCAGGGATGACCGAGAACATTTTTTGGGTTGGAGATTTTTTTCAAAAAATAAAAATAAAAAATTATAAGTCCTAGAGACCTAATTGCAATTTCATAAATTTTAACATATTACAATTTAATATATGAGGCAAATTTATAATTCAATAAAAGTTCAATATATGCACAATAATGATACATAAAATGCACAATATTGCGTGAAAACGCGCACATTAAAAATCTCGTCATATTTTTACTAAATCATAGAATTGTCACGGCCTACGTAATTAAAATTCACAAATTTGTCAAAATGCCACATCGTTTAGGGTTGTTCATAGGTTGGTTCAGTCGAACCGACCAACCAAAATGTCAAAACCAAAATAACTGAGTCGAACTTTTAGAAAATTCGAACAGACTGAACATTTACCCCGAATCAAAATAAAACCAAATAGAAATGATCGGTTTATTCGATCGGTTAACCAAATTAGCCGAAGAAAAATATTATTTATACTATAAATTTATATTTCATATTTTAATATTTTTTTATTTAATATTTTAGATTTGTTTAGCTGAAAATAAATAATATATTTATATAAAATATAAAAAATAATACTCTCTATATAGGTCGGTCAGTTTAGTTGATTCAGTTATTTTAAACAATAAGGCTAAAATCGAACCAATATAACCAAAAACTTAAAATTAAAAACAGATAATGCAACCGACATATAAAACATCGAACCAAAAATATTAGTTCGGTCGGTTTCAGTCGCTATTGTGCAGTCTGACAAACATTAATGTGCACTTCATCTAACACTATTGTGCATTCGCAGCGTATACATTTTCTATGTGCATATACTCACATTATATAATGCATTTTACTTATCATTATTGTGCACTTTTAAATTTATTAAAAGTAATAAAGTATAGATTTGACCAATGAACTAGACTGTAATATATTGAAGTTTCTAAAATTCCAATCAAGTCCTTAAGTCTAATATAATATACAAATTAATGCCCTAGAAATTGATTTTGTCTATTCTTCTATCCATCCACCGCCGTGACTCAGCCATTGTCGTCTCACCCTCTGCCTCTTCATTCTCCTCGCCATCAAGATCGCCGGCGAGATTGAGATGATGTAATGAATATTCGATGCAATGTGTGTGGGTGTGAGAGCTTCGCGGCGAAGGGATCTTGGTGACGATGGGCGGTAGCAGGATGTTTGCGGCGGCGTCTGATGGCGAGATGTTTGTTGCCGGTGTGTGTGAGAGAGCTTCATAGTGGAGGAGGATGACTGTCATGAGGTTACCGGCGGCGATTGTTAGCTCGGCCACGTCCGAAAGCGCGGCTAGACCTGGGCGGATGTGCGGCGACACCTGAGCCGCTCTGGCTGGAGGTCAGCCCGACGGAAGTCGATCGGGCAAGAAGTCGGCAATGTCGGGAAAGGGTGGGGATTGGACTGTGTGTGTATGTGTATCTGAGAGAGAGTTGATGGTGAGGTTTGGTGGGGCTCACAATTATTTAGGTGATTGGGGTTAGTGTACTATCAAATTTACCCTTAGTGAGTGTAAACTTTTAGTTATATATTCCTTAAGGCTTCGTTTGTTTTGAGGGATTTCAAATCCCTTGATTTCAAAATTTTTGAAATAGATTTTTTTTTTTACTTGCACACTCTTTGAATGGATGTGTTCAAAATATTATAATCAATTGTCTAGCTCGCACCGATGGTGTTGACTCGCGGTAGTGATGAACCTAAATGATCGCAGACGGCGTGGTCGTCAACGGTGATAAACAGTAGATTTCAAATGACTAGGTTTGACGAGTCATTTAAAATCCTTCAAAATAATGACTAAAAAACATCTAGGTGAATTTGAAATCCTCCAACTTCTATTACCGTCCCAACATGCATGAGGATTTGAACTTGTATATTTGAAATCTATGGATTTTAAATCCCTCAGTAAATCCTTCAATCCAAACTTAGCCTAAAATAATTCAAGATATTGATTGATTAAACTCTGTTAGCAAATGGTTTACACTCTAGTTATTTTAAAAGTATTAGGTTTATTTATTATTTTCTAAGAATGCAGCTTATATATAGTTTTAGGCCTCAATCAAATAAGTAGTGTAATTACTAATTTCGTAGTTTTATATAATTTAGTAAAGTTGTTTTTTACATGATTTTGTAAGTTTTGGTATATTTCAAATCAACTAACATTTATATAACATATATACATTTTTTTTCCAAACGATCAAAAATTCTATGGAACCACGGATGGTTTTTTTATGGAGTCATCCACCACTTATGTATTGACACATGTCTAAAGTGTATTTATTGAAAGACATGTGTCAATACATTATTGGTGAATAAGTGTGAATGGCTCCATAAGCCGAGCAATCCGATGACTCCATAACAAAACTGTCCAAACGATAGTCATTCATATCACAATAAAATGTACAAAATACAGTCCGAAGGCTAAATAGCCAAATGTTACCCAAACAAAACAATAGAGACCTTCAAACAAAGAAGGTCTAAACTCCCCTACACAACAAGACTCCAACTACACCAACTCTAACAAGACTCAAACAGATAAAGGCAGATATCCTGAGACCTTTAACTGCACTGGCTCCACATTACACAAGAACAACACTACTACATTGGGATCAATACACATAAACATCAGAACAAGGTAAATAACAGTGAAATAAAGAAGAAAACACTACTGAACTACAAAAGGACCTAGTGAACTTCAACTTCCTCACTACTACTCAATCCCCTGTCTGCAAGATTTGAACTCCATCCAATCACCTTGTGTTGCCCTCAGAGTAGCATAATCTGGTATCCACATGGACTGAAATTTCCAGAGATTCCGAGCTTTCTATAACCACCATAAAATGTAAGTAGTTAACTCGATCCTAGATTCTGAAATTTCTCCCTTGTCCACAGGGCAAATATGACCCCACCATTGCTTGAAAGTACTTGAGCCAGCAGGTGTTGTCCATTGAACCGGGGCTAACTTCCCAATTCTCTGGGCTCTCTCACAGTGCAGCAGAACATGTTCTATTGATTCCAAATCCTCACCACAGTTATGGCATCTTGGATCCACCTCAAGTCCTCTCTTTTTCAGGTTCAAACAAGTAGGAAGGGTTTTATTGCAACACTTCCAGATGAAATGCTTGAGTTTATGCTTAACTGTCAGTTTCCAGCTTCTACATCTGAGTGCTTTATCTTTCTGAGCAGATTCACTTCCCTCAGCAACATCCAAATCCAAGAGTTTGTTCAGAACCAAATTGAAATATGAGCTAGCAACATAAAACTTACCTTTAGAATCCAACATACATTTCCATTTATCAGCCAATATGGGGTCCAAAGATCTAATAGTCAGAATCTCCTCAACATCTTGTTGGTGAAAAAATTCCTCCAGCAAGCTTCTGTTCCAGGTTTTCCCATCTTCTTGGATAAGCTCTTTAACCCATGTCACTTTGCTCATTCCTGCTTCATTTTTGGTTGGCAGTCCATCCTCTTTCCCAGGTAACCATGGATCAGTTCATATGTTGATGTTTCTTCCCTGCCTTACCACCACTTTAAAATAATTTTTAAATTTATCTTATATCATATATACATATTAGATAAGTATCTTTTTCTTTTTTTCATCTTTGATTACGTTGTAAGATTAATGAATAATGATCATTATTCAGTGAATAACATAACGTTTGAAGTAAAAATAAAAGTACACATTTAATGATTACTCAATAAATTCTCATATTATCAAATTCTCCAAATTTCAATCCAGGCTAGGAAGACATTCACACTACTAAGACCGCCCGACAATATATTTGCCACCTTCCTAACTAACAAATTCAATAGTCTAAACAAATCATCAAGTTATATGATATGTCCTCCTTACATCATTACTTCTTTTTTCTTTTATATATATCAATCACAAAACACCTTATAAATCCACACAAATATAACTCAAGCCTCAAATGAACCAATAAAAAAAAATACAAAATAAAAAAAACGAGCCATTCACAATCATTGTGCTCAAAATTCTTTTTAAAAAATATGACCTTCACATCTACAAACCAACTGCAGCCCTTTCACCATGGACATACGTATGTATGTTTCCCATCAATGCAGTTGAGCATAAATTGAAACTTTCTTGTGGTTTGTCCATAGTATGATGATTAAGTTATACAAAATGTAGTTACTTTCTTCCTTGTTCAAATTTGTTAATCAATAATCACAGGTTGTAAGTGCGGTATCCAGTGTTGGGCCGGTGGATCTCCTGTGAATTCCCATCGCTTGAGTGGGCATATTCACCTCTGAGTCCCAACTCACTACTAGTGAAATCCTGGCTCGATGGGGTCCCGGGCTTTTTGTCATATCTCTTCAAGTCATAGTCAGAGCTGCCACTCGACCCAAGCATTCCATTTCGAGACGATTTGATCCCTTCGTGCAGGTCGTCTAGGGAGACATCTCCTTCCAGAGCACGCACAATCTATAGGCAAAATAAATCAAATATAAAAATCAATATAATTCACTCACTTATGAAAACTCTAATATCATGTGCTAAACAGTTCAAATAATAATAAACATTGATGCTAAAAGAAAATTCTAGACTAAGGATTAAAAAATTATTATCAAGAGACTTCTTAGTCATTAAGCATTCTAGAATCATCTCTAGATTAGCACCGCGTTAGTTATTCTATAAATATAGCTAAAGTGCTACAACAATTGTAACAAAAATGTAGAGATAAATACACATTTAAAGTACCCTGTTTCCAAAACCACATCTTTAAATATTAATTTTAATTTAATATAAACTTTTTTAGATACCAACAGTGGTATCAGAGCCCAGTCTGATCAGTGTTGAGAAACAACTCTTTTTACATATCTTGTTCAAGTACCCTTTCAAATACCTACAATGGTCCCTTCTCAAAATAGCCATCAAATATCATTTCCTATTTTCTCGGGTAATAATTTTTACTATTGGGCCATTAATTAAAATGAGGACATATTTTATGTCCCCAAGGTCTATGAAATATTTTCGAAAACGGGTATACTATTCCCCAAGACAAATCCACTTTGTCTACCACGGACAAAGAAAAAATGAATTGGGAGAAAGAGAAAGACGGTTTGGCTCTCTTCACAATACAAATGGCTATGATGGAGTCTTTGTTTGCAAGAGTCAACAGAGCACAAATATCAAAGGAGCCTTGACATACTCTAAAAGAAGAATATTAGGGTAGTGATAAGGTACGACATCTAAAATTATAAACTCTATGGAGAGATTTGAAAAATATGAAGATGAAAGAATATAAGATTATAAAAGATTACTACACTCGATTATGAGAAGTAGTAAATCAAATAAAAGTGTACGGAGAAAATATCATTGACAAAAGGGTGGTAAAAAAATTTTAATTACTACTCTACCAGCTATATACGATGCTATTGTTACAACAACTAAAGAAACTAAATATTTGGATAATTTGTCTGTGACTGAATTAATAGGTTCACTTGAAACCTACGAGAAAAACTGATTATGCGTGAAAATGATTTAGTTGAACACTCATTTAAGTCAAAATAAACTTACGGTCTCATATTTCTAAATTTTGGGGGAGAAGATTTGGAGAAAATAGCGACAATAAAAATCAAGGTGAAAATAATAATAATAATCAACAAAAATAAAAATTTCCATCTTATAGAGTTTGCAAAGAAGACCAACCATCTCGAGAAGGATTATTGGTACCGAGATAGACCACAATGTAAAAACTTTTGGTCGATTCGGTCATATGGAAAAAAAAGATTGCCGCAATAAAAGATATCAAACAAATTTTTCTAAAGAAAATAAAAATGGAGAAAATTTGTTATTCTACCCAACACATGCAACATCGAAAGAGAAAAATGATTTTTGGTTTCTGGATAGTGGCTACAACAATCATATGGTCAGAGATGAAAAGAAATTCAAAGATATTGATATATAGATTTTTAAAATCACAAGTTCATTTGGGCAATGGAGATCTAGTAGAAGTTGAAGACAAAAGCTCAATTGAGGTCGAGACCCAAAAAGGTACTCGTCTCTTCGAAGATGTGCTATTAGTACCAATATTGTTTAGTAATAACTCTTGCATAATTTATGACAAAAAAAAAATGAAAAATACTCCCATAATGTAGTAAAAATGCAACAACCGATAAAATTTTCGCTCCGTTGGAAATTCATAGAAGCAGCACTAACCCAAGAAGACCAATCCTGACTATGGAATCGGAGGTTTTGGCACTTTAACTTCCAAGGGCTAAAGCTACTTCATCAAAAAATATGATGAAAAATCTACGGCCATCCATACGAATGACAACCTTTGCGAAAAGTGCATGGTGGGAAAACAACATAGAAAACCATTTCCTTCAAGTCAAATAGAAAGAGCCAAACAAATACTATAGTTAGTGCATACAGATGCGCACGGACCAATAAGGACACCAACCTTCAAGAAGAGTAGGTACTTCATCCTCTTCATTGATGATTACGCAAGATGACTTAGGTGAAACTCATAAAAGAAAGGCCCGAAGTAAATTCAAAAGCCTCGTAAAAAATCAGAGTGGAAGAAGAATTAAAGTTCTATGGAGTGGTCGAGGAACAAAAAACACATCCAAAGAGTTCAGCAAATTCTGTAATAAGATGAAAGAATCAACCATTAACTAACTGTCGGCTACGCTCCAGAGCAAACCGGCTTGTCGGAAGGAAAAATAGAACTGCACAAGAGTTTGCCAGGACAATGCTAGTTAAGAAGAACATGCCCAAAGAATTTTAGGCAGAAGCTGTTTACACTGGAGTCTATCTACTGAACAGGTTCCCTTATAAAGTAGTCTAAAATAAAACTCTCATAGAAGCTTGGAGTGGACGAAAACCATCAGCCCAACATCTAAGAGTCTTTGGGAGTATCTGTAACGTACATATCCTAAAGGAAAAGGGGCACAAACTGGAGAAAAAATCCGAAAAAGGCGCATTCATCGGCTATAGCCATCAATCTAATGGATACAGAATTTCTTACATCCTCAAGACTAGTAAACTAATTATTAGTCGAGATATCGAGTTCGACGAAATTTCTTTGTAGAACTCGGAGGAAGAAAAATTTGAATACCAAAATATAATGGTACCTCCACCACAGAGGAAAAATATAGTACCAGAAGAACATTAAGATGAACCAGAAAGTACAAAAACACCTCTAGCTCCACTACCTTCGAGTATGATGACATCATCACCATCAAGTGATGAACCATCATCCCCAGAATCACCCCTGAGAAAAGTACGAATTCTTAGAGAAATTTACGAGACATGCAATTTTGTCACGGTGGAATCGGGAAGCTTTGAAGCAGCAGTAAAGAGAAATGAATGGGTAAAAGCTATGGAGGAAGAAATCAGGATGATCGATAAGAATAAAACTTTGGAGTTAGTTGATCTACCAAATAATAATGAGATCATTAGAGTAAAGTGGGTCTATAAGACAAAGCTTAACCCAGATGGCTCAATTAAGAAAACATAAATCACAACTGGTTGCTAAAGGGTACTCACAACTGCTTCAGATTGACTGCCACGATACTTCCACTCCAGTTGCCATGCTATATACTATAAGGGCTCTAGTCGCACTTGCACCACAAAAGTAATGGAAAATCTACCAACTCGATGTCAAGTTAACATTCCTCAATGGCTATCTTGAAGAGGAGATCTATGTTGAACCGTATGTGGATATCCACATACCTCAAGAATGAACCTGGATATCATGTGCGCTGCGAGTGTACTATCGAGGTTCATTCAGAAATCAAGTCAAGTTCATTACGAATCTACGGAAAGAACACTGCGGTATTTGTAGGGTACTAAAGACTATAAAATCTAATATGAATATAACGAGGACTCAAGACTTAATGGCTACACAGACAACGACTAGGCTAGATCAGCTGACGACATGAAAAACATCTCAGGCTACACATTTTCACTTGGGTTAGGCATATTCTCATGGTCATCCAAAAAGCAACAACAGTGTAGCGCAATCTTTTGCAAAAGTCGAGTCCGTCGCAACAACACTAACAACAAGTCAAACTATTTGGCTATGGTGTAAACTTGGATACATGAAAGAACACCATGAAAATCCTACAGATATATATTACGACAACAAGTCAGCAATAACAATGGCGAAAAATTCCATACATCACAACAGAACCAAACACATTGCTATCAATTATAATTTTCTAAGAGAAGAAACTAACGACAAACAAGTAGAGCTCAAATATGTTGCCACTGAGGACCAACTAGCAGATAACTTTCGCAAAAGCTCTACCGCGACCAAAATTCGAGGCACTACGTGATATGCTCAGTATTATCCAAATGAGTATCAAGGGGAATTAAACATTGATGCTCAAGGAAAATTCTAGACTAAGGATTAAAAAAATATTACTAGGAGACTTCTTAGTCATTAATGGTGTGATTGATTATAAACTTAATCAATCAAAACTCAAATTTTAACTCAATTTAACATAATCCTATTATCTTCAATATTGTTAATATAATTAGATAATATCAAATAATCATTCTTACACATCGCATCAACTTTAATTCACTATTCATCTATTCAAATAATTTTAACTATCCATCATTTCCAATCATTTTTCTCCTACTTTTACATCAAATTAACTTTAATTATTTTATTTTAAATAATATTTTAATTTAAACTTAAATTTTCACTAACAGTTAACCATACCACATTTTTAAAAATCAAATATGGCTAAAAAGAACTAATCAAATCCATATCCAATCACACCTAAGTATTCAGAAATCATCGGGCATTTAGCACTGCCTTAGTTATTCTATAAATATATAGTTAAAGTGGTGCAGGAATTTTAACATAAATCTAGAGACAAATACACATCTACATTACCCTATTTCCAAAACCATATCTCTAAATTTTAATTTTAATGTAATAAATATTTTTTTTAGATACCAACAAATAACTTGACAAAAAGAAAAATATTAACTCGATGTACTTAATTTCGACTAATTGGTCATGTGTTGATTTATACTTAGCTTGTTTAAATTTTTCATTCAAAGAAAAATCTCATGAATTATTTGTTAAAATTCAGCAGGGGACTGACTCATGCACCTCAGATAAACTAAACGAATGCAAGTCAATAATACTTGCAAAACTTTGTCTCTAGTTTTGAATAAAAAATAAGACAAAATTCCGATTAATGCTATTTGTATTACTGAAGCATATTGATTATTTCATATGATCGAAACTTGAAATAATTAAGGTTTCTTGAATCGATAAAAACCTGGCTCATTTTTGGGCGTCTTCTTGCCGAATGCCTAATACATGCAGCAGCACAATGAACCATACGCAACATCTCTTGGGGATCATAATTGTCTCCTAGTTTTGGGTCCACCAGATCATCGTACTCTGCCCCTTCTGTCACCGACATCAAAATAGGCCTAGCCTGTGTAAGACGTTGTTAAACAAAACATTACATCCATTAAAAATAATCAATAACTTTTAGTAAAATGTGAAGCCTATTTAATTTGCAGAAAATCATTATTAACTAGAAAATAATATAC